TCTGGGCAAACTGTCCGCTGTCTTCTCCGGGAAAGCTGGGAAACACGTACAAATCGAGATGAGGTCCAATATTTTCCTTCATCTTCGCGAAAACCGGGAACAAACTGTATCCAAGTCTCATTTCCATTCGATTGTACATCGTGGCAAAGGAGCATCGCTAGCGAGCAATCATCCTGAAAGCTACATTGTCCACATTCCCTTTCATTCGTCATAAATATCCCATCCTTCAAGAGGAGGGATATATCCTTCGAGGAAGATCCGCAGAAAGAAGCATTTATGCGATTAAACTTTCCCTCTCTTCTCTATCGTTCAAAGAAATTCACGAGCGCGTGGAAGCGATCCGAGGAAGGGACGCCAAGATAAGGAAACGGCCGCTTGAAACGATGACTCAGAAGATTACCAGGTGACTAATTAGAAGGGCTTTTTGGCTGCGCATACTGGAGCAGAAGAGCGCATTCAAGACACGTTCACCGGTGCGAAATCTTTGCTGCCCTCGTTAACGCAGTCTGTTTCGAGCACCCGGGGAAAAAAAAGCACCATTTGCACGCTCGATGAGGATTCTTGAAAGCGGTTTGTCAAGCGGATGTATCAAGTCCGGAAACGAGCTCTCCTCGTTATTTACTTTGGCTAATTCTCCCTCTTCCAGTCCCTCTTCTTCCCCGTGTTTCGACGTTTAAAAATTGTAGGAAAATGGCAGAGGAGGCTAATTTGATGCGTATAAAACGACCTTTTATACAGTGATTCGTCGAACTCTTTTTCTGGCTAATTTCCAGGAGGGAAAGTGTTACTTCAAGATTTTGCGCGTATTAATTATAAACGTATTGTGATCCAGTGACAGAAGAAGAAAACATGCGAGGCGAAACGATAATGGTTATGAAACGAATGAATAGATCAATAAACCTTTTCGTATTTTTCAACCATCTCGTAAGGAAATTTAAGTCAAAATAATCTTCATAGTTCGTCGAATATCGAGGAACAAAGCTCGAACTTCGTTCAAATGGATAGATTTGGAAATGGTAGTTTGCACAAGAGAATGGAGCATGTATTTGAAAGAGACGACGGACGATTTGTACGAAAGGACACGTTGAATGATTAACGATTCGAGACACCTGAGAGGGATCATGGAATTTTTAAGTGACGTGAAACGAATAGAGAGACAAGTTGGTACGAATAGTATCGCTCAAGTTGGAAGATGAGAAGAAAAAAAAGAAGAGATGAGAAGCGAACGCCTTTTCGCCTTTCTTTTTTAGGCAATCGCAGTTGAAAATGAAGACGGATGGGAAATTACTTTCTCTTGTTCTTGCCGGGACGCGAACCTGAGAAAGTAATTACGGTCCCATAAGACGATGAAGTTCAGAAATCGTAGGAAATGTCACGAGGGGGAAGCCTAGTAGGTAGCCTTGGATCGTTGAAGATCGAGATTAATGAACTTTTTGCGTGTCGTCGCGATTAAGAGAAAGAAAATTCTATCTCTTTTCGTTTCGTTCCTTAATTTAAGCACGGTGAAAAACCTAAACGCGTTCTTTTCTTTCCTTCGCTTCTTTCTTAAAAAGAAGGATATCTTTTCAATCGATAGGATCCTGTTCTTCAAATCCTTTCTTCAAAGGCAAGATGTTTGAACAGGACAAAAACATTTCTTCAATTCTCCTTCCTTTCCTCGAATTCTTCTTTCAGATCTTAATAACAGTCGAGCCGAGTATAAACTATGTAAAATTTCGTGAACGATCTCTTCCACAAAGATTTCATTATCCCTCGGGATACCTGCAAGCTTCTCGAAACGCTTCAAAGTACTGTTTTCCGTTTATGGTGCGCCGTTTTATTATTCCCTTAACCGCGGTTCTCAGTGAAATATTCAACGCCACGATTTCGCCTTTTTCCGCGGTGTACAAAGGCGCGCAACGAACACCTTATACACGTTGGAACAGTTGAAAAACGCTCGTTTAACAACGATCTCGCGTTGCTTTGTCGCGCCACCGGGGAGACTCTTCGAAAACTCGCGATCGTTATATCCGTTTCACGTCGATAATGACAGGAAGAAGAGAATCAAAGCCTTTTTCTTCGAGTCGTTCGAAACCTCCAATACTTGTCGAGATGATTTTATGGAATGCGATCGAAAGAGCTTTGAATGAACGAAGGGACTCAGAGATTATAACGTAAATTTGAATATCGGAAAATTGGATGGGGTTAATAAGTGAATTTCGAGTTAATCACTCGCGAAAATTCAAGAAAAATTATTTGTCGTTTTAGGTTTTTTAATTTTTGTATATATTTCCAACGAATATTATTAGTTTTGAAAGTCTTTCGAGATAATGATCATCGGATCAGGATCGTTAGAATCACGCGAAATTTTGCTTCTTAAAATTCCTTTTCATTACATCATGAATAAACTTCCATTTCTCAAGATATTTTCGAAAATTTTTAACCATTTGGGTAACTCGATTACGATGATTGTTAAAATTAGAAGAACTCGTAATTGTTGCAAGCGCAGAATCTTCCTTCTTTTTTTATTTATCTCAGCAATCGAGAACGAATCAAAAATTGAATTTCACGATTTCCTCTATATAATCCTGAATAAATTTTGTTTCGTTCGAACGCAAATAATGATATAATGTATATAAAAATATAATTTAGCATATATTTTCTATAAATTTGAGCATTTTTTACCTGCACAAAATTCTTCAAGAATCAATTTGCTTTTCCCATAGAAGAAATAATTTCTCCTTCCTTAGCCTGTTTTATGTTGAAAAATAATTTTCTCAAAAACTAGAGTAAATCTTTGAAATATAAAATCGTGATTTCAAAGGTTATACGATAATGAGAACGTAATTAAACGAGAACATATAATTTGCACCATTCACGAGGCGAACTACGCGTGGCGAACGTTTCTTTTAATTTACATTTAATTCCGACGGTAAATACAGTTTATACATATTTTAACGAGTTTCATCGAATATTAACGACCACAAGCGACGCGCTAATAAATATTTATCGCGGCCATTAGATCATGCATAAACATACGCGGTCGAAGAATACGTGCTTTGTCAAATGCACCGCTTATCACCGCATTTTCCACGACATTTATGCAAATATTTCCCCACGAATTCGCGTCTGTTCGCGGCTATATATTTCACGAAATTTCAGCGTAAAACACGCCGATACTCTTCCTCTTCCCTCCCTTTTCCTGTGATTAATATCAATTTCTACGAGCAACGGAATCATAATATATTTATTTTAAACATTTTACGATGCTACGACTGTTCAAACGGTGAATCATTCATAGAACAGGATGATTATATATACATATATATATATATATATACACACATAGCGAAATCATCTATGAACGTTCATAAATTCATAGTAATTATAATAATTCATGGCATTTAACAAACTCTCCACCGCGGTAACGTAATTAATTCCTGCTGCCAACATGCCAGGAGTAATATATATATATATATAAAACGTATGAATATTTATAAACTCGGTTGATCTTGTATTAAGCAAAAACGTATGAAATTTTGATCATCACGATTCACAGCGGTTTACGATCGATAATAATTCGCCTCAAACTTTTCTTTCGTTCCGTTCTTTAAAAATTTTGAAAAAACTCCTTACAATTCCTCTTTTTTTCAACTTTCAATTCCTCAAGAAATCGTCCATCGTTGCTATCCACTTTGCAAGTTTTGAAATCAACGCACCACTTTGCTCGTTCGAATCGATCTTTGATTGATCAGCCGTGGGAACGAAACGCGTCAGTCGCAGACGCGATTCGACACGTTTGTTAACGAACTGTCACCAGTGGTGACAATTGTAAACGAACTGCTTACAACCGTCACCGTGCTGCATCCGTGTCGCCATCGCAATATCGCGTTCCCTTCGTCGTTATTATTTTGCATCGCCGCAGGTAAACACTGCTATCCCGTTTGCCGAACAAATTCCAATCTCGCAATAGAAATGAGAAACTCTTCGTCTTTATCATTGAGAAAATCGTAGGGGGGTTTAATTAAAACGAACAGATTTGCCAGGCGATTTTCCAGATTCGCTCGATAATAATTAAATATGAAAATATTCGAGAACGACGACGAGAGTTAATTAATTAAATGAATTACACAATATCGATGCCAATATCGATGTTTTTACATTAACATTGACTACATTTAACTCGTGATTCTATATTCTCTCTGATCTGAGAATCCAAAAATCGTAGCAAGATGACGATTGAAATTGTAAACCAGCCAGTGTAGCCAGCCAAGCGCGATGCAGCGCGTAGATTGAATAACTGCGAGCTCCTCACGCGCGATTTGAAACGCAAACCAGGCAAGCAGAAGACGCGACAACGGTCCAATTCCAACACCATCACCCGCACAAAGGGGCCAAGTTTGCGACTGACAACGTCGTTTCCGAAACACTCCGCTTATCGCGTGACGCTTCTTGCCAGAGTCGAACGAGCCGACTCTCTAATTGACTTCTAATCTCGCGTAACGACACCGTGCAGCGGCGTGTCGAGAGTGGAGAACGGCCGTGACCGCGTCTGAAACCCGTCTTCGTTCTTGCGACGACGAGCGCTACGATGAGAATTGTTTCGAAGCTGAGAGATAATCGCTGAGAGATCGGCGCGCGACCATTGTTTTAGTCGGTTTTAGTGCGATCTCGAAGGGAAATCGGGAGACCTCTAACTCGAGAGGATGCGCGGGGTTAATCGTGTGGAAGGAGGCGAGTATCTCTCTGAGTGACACGGAGATGCGAGAAGAAGGAGGAGACAATGAGCATTGTTTCGGATAAACTTCAACAATTTCTAGAATTTATCTTTTCTGGAACGCGACTAGACGCCACGTGTGTAATTGTGAGTGGTTCATTAACCTGCAACGTCGACTTTGGTAGTCGGTTTCGGACAAAATGTTCGTCTAGGATTATCGCAGTTACTACTTGCGAAGATGGGTGATCTTTTTTTTCAATAGTAACGTTAATCTTATGCAAATCTGTAGGGAGAGAGAGAGAGAGAGAGAGAGAGAGTACACGTAGGTTAGTACGG